TAGGTTGTAATATTTCTAAAAATTCTATTTTGAAAGAAAGTCTCAATCAATCTCAGATCGTTGTAAAATTCTGAAATTTTAATATAAAATACTCACTGACAACAATATTTTTGTTTTCAGTTAAACGTGGCGTCACATACAATTCAAAATTGTTCCGAGCAGTTGTGTATGATGCGTACAAGGTCGACGTCAATGACGCTCCATCAATTTGTAAGTCATTGAACATGTATGATTTGTTAAGATTAGATAATTAGAAAACCGAGATATAGATAATGCTTTTAATTTGAAATATATTGTGACGTCATGGACGAACTGTCCGATTAATATTCTGGCGTTTTCCGAATATAATTCAGAATTTGAGATATTTCCAGTAATATCTGGTTTCACTCATTTTCATGTCGTTCTTAACACATTACTTGCCATACCTTTACTATAAAACTCATTACTAAATGAGCCTTCTCATCTAAGATGTCAGTCATATTAACATTTCAAGCTACTGATTTTGAAGGTTTATTCAATTGTTACAGAACAATCAGCTTTTGCTTTCGAGTGGGCGACCAATCACTATAGCAACAGAAGTGTGGCGTCCGGGTAATTGGAGATCCCATTCAGCGTGGACAATTGTTCTTGTCGATGTCCAAGAAGATTCAGAAAACAAAGATCAGGGAATATACAATGCAATACCATTAGCGTCGTGTTACGGTGTCATTTGTGAAATATAAAACCTGCTCAAAACCAGACAGAACTTCGTTGACGGACTGAATGATACAAAGGACAATAAGATCTTACGTTTTATTACTTATCCATATTAATCCATTACTATTATTACCCTCATAACCTATGCCATGTCTGTTGAAACTTTTTGCTCCGAAAATAAATTCGTAGCTGACACACCCCATGTAATTTCTGTATATAACCAAGAATGATAATAAATATTGATTCGATGAATTGTGAGTTTGGTATTATTTTGTCAGTTTATGGGAATCAAACAAAAAGGGTAATGAAACGTAAAATAGGAAATTACTCATGCGTGAAAGTGACCACGCCTACCTACATATGCAGCAAATGAGCCGCATGCGGCTCTCAACAACCTTTCCTGCGGCTCTTGTTATTGCTTTAAAATTAATAACTTTCAAAGAAAATTTTTCAATAAAAACTAATCATTGGCTTGAAATTAAAATGCGGAATTTATTATTAGTCAGTCGAATGGATTCCCCCGTGTTTATTTCGTAGCATTGACTAATCTACAATATGTAATAGTGACGCAACAGTAAGCATTTTCGAGGCCACTCGAACACTTTTCACTTGGAAAGATTTTAGACATGGATGTAATCATTGGCTTGCTTTCGTTGATTTTCAGTTTTTGTCGCATTTTCGAATATTATGTATAAATCAAAAAACTCAATGATTATTACTTATCGATTTTAATCGGTAAGTATGTTGATAGGTATTTGTCGGTCTGTCTGTTAGATGCACGCGATATCTCACGAAAGCGAGGTTGAATCTGCTCCAGATTTTGCATGTGCTTTCATCATATGTCGTACCAGAAGCTTATTGATTTTGGAGGAATTATGTCGTATAATTAGCGAGTTATCAATTAATTAGTGATGGGACACAAGGTGTCACTATGGAGTAAGAGCGCTGTTTTGGGGGATCCCCTAACTTTCGATCGATAAGTCCTCGGTCTCTGACCGATATTTTTGTTCTAGTAGTTATACCCTTGCGTTCAAATTAGCGACAGCTGTTGAATACCTTAAGGGCCGATTTCAAAACCAAATTGAGTGGCAATAATGGCAATAATGACATTTCAAGGCCTTTGGGCCTAATAGAGGTTCAGACGCTAATTATAACTAATTCCTTCAAGTTTTAAAGTTTTTTTTTTCAACGAAACAACACTCCGATGGTTATTATAGCTAAAATACTTACTGAGTAATGCTCTATTTTCTTTACGGAATTTGCAAATTCAGCACTCCACTCACCGGTGATGATTTTGATTATGTCATGCCCTAAGGCTTAATTATCACTGCCCAAATGCTTCAAAATTTAACAATTGTAATCATTTTCGATGATAATAGACGCAACAATTCATGAACGAGTCAGTGTGCATTGTTACAACGAAATTCATGATTGATTTTACGTTCTACTCTTGGTCTAACGGCCATGCATGGTCGAGTAAAATGTTTACATATTCGAAACATTACTTGGCCAAGGATGCAAGGGATCACTAAAGAGCTGATACAAAGTGATTTAAAGGGAGTAGGACATGACATTTCTTATATGGTCCCAACTTAATGAGTCTTTTTCATACAAGTAACTCATACCAGCTTTTGGAAAAACTTTTGGTCATTTTTAAATCCATGCAATTTATATAACTAGAGTTTTCTAACGACCTAAAATCGCCCTTTTCACAATGAAACGCCGAAAAGTCATTTTAACATTTAATTTTAATCAACTTTATGTTCGGTAATGCAAGAAATGGCTAATGACATGTCACCAAGCATGCGGAGTTTAAAATCTGGGAAATTTATTTTAATATCCAATCTGGTTTGACGTTTCTAAATTTACGGAACGGTCGGTACGTTTTTTTTTGCAACATATGGAATTGAATCCATACGTTAAGTGAAAAGATAGCATATTATAACACCATAACCATAAGACGACTTTTCAAATTTGTCGTTTTCTTCTGATAGCGAGCGCCGTTGGGAAATCTCGCACAATTCACGATTGATGTTGGAGACGCGCGATTTCGGTGTCCAAGCAGAGCGGCGCAGGTCACGTGGTACCAGATATTCAAATAGTAAAATGTCTTTCGAATATTTCATTTTTCGAATATTTTGCCCAGCCCCAGTTGTTAGGTGTGTTGTTGTCACGATGACTTGGTATTTTAAATACGCGCTTAAGGTTTGTTGCTATTTTACCTTGCGTTATTTATGTGCGGCTCTTCATAACTTTGAGGTGTGAAACGCGGCTCTGGGACTAAAAAAGTTTGAGAACCACTGCACTGGAGTCTCACGACATTATATCGGAGTCAATGTTTTCCTGACCCGGATTCGAAGTCAAAATTTTGTAAACCTGGGGCCAAATGTAACCCCAAAGACCAGTTCTCATCGACTTTGCCCTCTCCGCGATCAATATAAGCATCTTATCTTGTATATCAATGTAAAAGTTCTACCTAGTCAAGCAAGCTTTGTGTGTTTCGTGTAGTTACGTACCCCGAGTACTTCTAGTGGACGTAGCATAACAATTGCATATGTTAATCCTAACCCCTCACATGACTGCGTCATCCAAAAATTACGTCACTACGACGTCACAGTGATGTAATAAGGCCCTCCAAACTATCGTAGATATACTTTGGCAAGCTCTATGGCGTGATTACACTAGACCCCAACTTTTATTGAACTGCTTTGGCACAATCAACATAAAGCAAACTGATAAGTAATAAGGTTTATTTCAGCTATATACAACCAGGGCAAAAATAAATGATATTGGTGGATGTACACTACTACGGACACTGGTTTAATAAAGGATAGGCGGCAGGGCCGGATTCGGACGATAAGAGGCCCCTGGGCTATTCCAGTTATGAGGCCTCTCCTTGACTATGACGTCACAACGTTTATGAATTCAACTATGGTGTCACAATTGGCTTTCGAATATTATGTTAAATATATTATAAATGGTGCTGATGAAGTATGCGTACCAAGATGGCGGACACCGGAACATAGTAAGCCTTTATGTACCAGGTTAGGGTTAGGCCATAATTTTATTCCAATTTCCTTATTTTAGTTCTATTACGAGTTTGGGGACTAGCCAAGTGACTCCCGTAGTATTTGTATTTAAAATTATGGCCTAACCCTAACCTGGTGGTACACATACTACGTTCCGGTGTCCGCCATCTTGGTATGCATACTTCAAGAGTACCTTATGAATTGTGCAAAATACGAAATTTCACTTACACCCAACGTACGACTAAATAGACTGGGTAGTAAGTTGAAATTGAAAACACTTTAGGAAACCCAAAGCTGCAATAAAACGTCATGGCACATAGTAACCAACGGTATAACAACCATTTCTAGTCGCGAGAAGTGATAAATAAAATAATATCGATAAAGTTATCAATCGATTTTTTCTGTAATGTGTGGGATTTAAATGAATAGTTCCGAAAATAGTGAAATAATTTCAAATATTTTTAGATTTGTTCTTGCTTAGATAAATTGGTAAAGCTATATATCGATATTTTTTCATCTTTTTCAAAAAATGAATGTATTAATAGCGCTCCAGAAGTATGTGTACCAATATGGAGATAACTAATTTTGTTCTCCTTTACATCAAGTTGTGTAAAGTGACGTAAACCAAGGGCAGGCGGTATATTCACTTTGCTAACACAGGCAATCTCGAACTCGCAATAGGACTAAAGTAAAGAAAATTGGAATCAAATTATGGCCTAACCCTAACCTGGTACACATACTACGCGAGTACCCTAAATACTTTAATTAATTCATTATGTAAGTGGGAAGTGTTATTTAAATTTAGAAAAAATCATTTATTCGAGTGTATTTTTACATTGTAAAAAAAAGTAATTGCGACAATAATTAATAACATGGTTCAAAAATGAGTAAATGTCAGTTTTTAAATTAAAAAATTGAACCGGTGTGCACCAATATGGCGCACAACCTGAACCTTAACCTGGTACACATACTATGTTCAGACTGTTCGCCATCAAGGTTCGCATACTACAGGAGTACCCATTATCGAATGCTAAACTTTGGAAAGTATGAAAATACTGTTGAAATTCTGATTTTTCGACTTCAAAAGATTTAGAAATTTGTCTCTGAGAGTGTGCATTGCCGACACAGAACCCCAGCTTTAAGATATGTATATAGAGGGTGTCCATAAGGACTTAATTAATTTTTTTTTAAATTGCCAAGGGATTTATCGATAATGTTATTATATATTGTTATAATCCCAAGCAGATGTATTTAAACGAAGTAAAAATACTTGAACAATTACTGATTAAAAAACAACAAACCTAGTTGAGATATGTTGAGAACTGACTTCATAACAATATTGAAAATTTTAAAGGGAATTTATGGACACACTTTACTAAAGATTGTGGAGTTATGGAAATCTAAATATTTTAATGAAACGCAAAGGAAGTATGTACACACGCAACACATAGATTTATTATCCAGGCATTATCAGTCTTTGGCTTATCCTTAAATGCCAAATAAGGCTTCAAGCTCACATAAATATTTATTTTTCACGCTGCAAGTATTATCGTTCAGCTCCCAATCAAAGCCAGAAGCAATATCGACGCAATCTTCATTACCGCCATGGTTGTTTGGTTCACCATCATGCCATGGAACAGAACTTACATTCGCGGTTACACCATCTTCCCAGATGAACGTATTTTCCTGTCGAATGTCGTTCAAACCAATCCATGCGTGGGATCGTCCAGATTTGACCAATGGTAAAATTTCTCTGCGAAAAAAAATGTCTGTTTATGGTATTTCACGACCTCACTTTCATAGCATCGCAATTTAAAGATTTATTCGGTACTAGGAATGACCGAAAGGAATTAGTTTTTATTCAGATTTCTAGCAAGTGTGATTCGATCGGTAAACTACTGGCCATGGAGTATTTTCAAAAGTATAATGACGATTAGCCAGTTATTTTGAAACGGCAGTCATAAGCATAATAGACCCTTTCGTTTTACTATTGATTATTTGTAGCTTATTGTAAGCTAGTTATTTTTGGGGTGGGGCGCTAGACTTGACAAATTCTAAAAGAGGAGCGCGGCTTAAAAAATCTGAGAAGCACTGTTCTAATATATTAATCCTACGAGAATATTCCCCTACCCATTCCAACTACCCAAATCACCTGCGAATATCTTCATCTCGATAGCCCGCCGATGCCAATTGACCTCCCAATCGCTTACAATTTGCCTTCGCTACTGCGTATGTGACGAGGTCGCTGAATAGTTTATAGTAATTATTGTTTCCTGCTCGATACCATGTTCTGATGTTTGTGATTCCACGAGATGCCCATATAAGGGTTTCCAGATGCTCTTGCATTTGTGCCATTACTGCAAAGTAAATTAGAATGATTTTATTACCATGCCTATGTTATTCCGACATTTATAACATTATATGATATCTATTGGTCTAATGAAGGACGTGCAACCTTCAATACAAAAAGGCAAGATACGAACAGCCAGATGAAACCGCGGGGCGCGCCTTTATTCAACGTAGGTTTTCTGATAGTTGCAAGCACAAACAATACTTTATTGATCTCGTAAGTCGTAACCTTCTTCCCACAAGCTAGCTGTTACGGACTTGTCACGTCATAAACTTTTCAAGGCAAAGGAGTTGAAATTACTCGCTCATACCAGATTAAACTAAATTAAAAACTTGTTTTCCGGGCCGCACACCGTTCAAAATTGAAATTTCTTGGTGGGACGCCGAATTTTTCCTTGCGGGCCGCATTTGGCCATTAGGTTGCACACCCCTGGAGTCGAATTTAGGGTGTTTTATTCCTATTGGTATAGTTTTTTTATATTATCGTTTTCATAACTGAAGATTATATTATAAAAAACAGAACGAAGAATTATCTTTTTGTAGTAATATATATGAAATCATCATATAATGCTTATCCCATTACAAAACGAAAATCCAAAAATAACTACGAAGGAATAAACAAGCGCTATTTTTCCTTAAATATTTTGATGTTGTTATTTGATATTTTCATCCGTCTTATTTCGTCAAAACTATTCTTGATTTACCTGATTTCAATCCTCCAATATCTGTTTCGATTTCAGTCAGTTTTGTTTGAGTATGTCCGGATGCTGTAATAAAAAATAATAATGATGAAACGTATTTAAAAGTGAAAAACCTTTGTTGGACGAATATAATTTGACACAGGCGACATTTACGAGAACGCTTTTATCGTGAACAATCACTGTCACCACGGTTCCAACCTCGCTTAGTTTCCATAAACACTAATTGTCATCTTTTCATCTAACACGGAGCATACTATAAATTAAAGTAATTAAATCATAGGTTAGTCCATAAGGATTTGGGGTAGAATAGGAAAGAAACACATTACGAATCGTAAGATACTAATGGCAGTTTGTAGAGCTGACGGCCCGTTGGGTAATTCAATCCGGCTGGCCTGATGCTTCCACAACCAAACAAAAACCAAATTGTAATATTTAGATCAAAATTGTTCAAGAAAATTGTTGAGATTGCGAATAAATTTAGTTTTGGCACGGTGCTTATTGTTTTCCACTTTTGCTTTTGTAACACTGTAAAAATGTCACGTCATACTTACATGGCCCGCCAGTCTAAGTGGCGAAAATGTTGGTCTTTGGTCCAAAAACTTGCCCCCCCCCCCCCCCCCCCCTGTTGTAGAGAAAGACATTGGTCTGCCATATTTATTCACTTAAACAATTCACCTGCTTTTAAATCCTCTATGTCCTCGCTAGATTTTTCAACAATCGGACCAATTTGAGTCAGTTTTGCTTGAATCTCTCCTGAAATATCTGAACAAAAATTTATCTACTTTGAAATAAAATTATTTTCATTGATAAAACGATAAAAATAAGCGTGGCGTGGCGTTCTCCAGTGGTGTAAATGGAACAGTGTTTAGTGGGTACTCCCGTAGTGCGTGTACCAGGTTAGGGTTGGGCCATAATTTTATTGCGATGTTCCCTATTTTAGTTCTATTACGAGTTTGGGCACTGTCTGTGTTAGCCAAGTGAATATACCCATTGCCTATAGCAGAGGTGTGCAACCTTTTTTATTGGTGGGCCAAATACAAGTAACTGGGTAAAGCCGCGGGCCGCACCTTTATTTAATTCAGGCTTTCTGGTAGTTCCAAGCACAAAAATTGCCTATATTTGCTATTGATCTTACGGCATTTTTAGGGGTTCTTGCAGAAATAGTAGATTTAAAACGCATAAACTTCTGAAAAAACTGCTATTTGAATTTTTTGGCGCACCGACTTCAAACGAATGCAGTGAGAAACACGTTTTTGTAATATAAATCGTGTATTTGCAACAGAATTTTGCTAGCTTGTTTTGCTAATATGAACGGTTGCGAAAAGATACATATGTGCGTACACATTGAAATTGATATTTCCTGCGGCCAACTAACTTCTTTTGCGGGCACCATTTCGCAAATTTGCACCCTCTCGGCCGTAAACTTCTATTACTGCGGCCCCTGGGTAATTATTTGGTTCCGCGATGCCTGCCACAACCAAACTAAAACCAAATGTGACGAATTTAGCTAAAATATAGCTCAAGAAATCTGTTTGGATTTGCGGTTAATTAGTTCTCCCCGGGCATATGTTTCCATATTTCGGTGAACACTGTAATACCCGTTCACTATAATGTAGCTTTTTACGTCACAACTCACATGATCCGCCAGACTAGGTGGGCAAAAAGTTTCTGCCCCTGGTTCAAATACGTTGCCCACCCCTGCCTATATGCTTCAGTTCCTATACACAACTTGATGTAAAATAGGTGAACAAAATTAGTTATCTCCATATTGGTATACACACTTTTGGAGCGCCGTTTAATGATTAGAAATGTGAGTTTAGAGAACATTTCATAACGAGTTTCAAATTGAAATGTTCCCAATGAATAATTTCAAGTTTGTAGCATATAATATGGTGCCATGTCTTGATAATTACTAGGACTAAATGAATGAAGCTTTAATTCAGGCTTTGAATGGCAAAGCTTTTCACATAGTGTTTATCCGACACGCCCGAATTATGTGAACCAAGACGTCGGACACCGGAACGTAGTATGTGTACCAGGTTAGGATTAGGCAAATTTTATTCCAATTTTTCTTATTTCAATTCTATTACGGACTAGCCAGGTGACTCAAGTAGTGTCTAAAAGTATGGCCTAACCCTAACCTGGTACACGTACTACGTTCCGGTGTCCGCCATCTTCTTTCACATATTTCGTGAGTACCCTTAATTCAACGATTAATCAGTCGATTGTTCGCTAGGCCCACCGTTGAAAAATTCTGCGCTGAGAGGAAAGTACAAATTCAAAGACAACAACTGTTGAACTATTGAACAGAAGCCTGAGGACTTGTGCGTGTCAGCAAGAATAATATTAACGATCTCTTTTCACGAAATAGCAAGTATGAAAAAAACAAGCCGGTAGGCGCCCAGTATTTCCGATGACTCTGGAGGCCCGCATTTCAGCAAAACGATACCATATTTGCAAGATTGTATACAATAACGGCAGGGTACTGTTGCAGCCGCTTTACCGAAACGGCCAATTCATTTGAGCGCTGCGCATCTCACCGGAACTCGGTTACCCTGACCGCCAATTCCCATCACGCAATTCTGCAAAAAGCTGAATCCCTAAAGAAATCTGTCAGTAATGTAACCAATGTCATACCGAGCGCAGGTATCATGACATCATCTAAATGGGATGGACTTTGGTTTATTCAAAATGATTTATTTTATTTACTATATCTTACCCAAATTTAGGAATTATTTTGAATTTTGATAGTTTTTGCGCGTCAAAGCTAGAGTCCGGCTATAGAAAAAATTGAGAGTCTTTGTTTTGCATTTCAACGATATTTTTGCTTTTTAAGGATAGAGTCTCAATCTAGAAAAATTATCCAAAAATTTATGTTTTGAACATGCCGTAAATAACGACCGAAAATTGCATAGTTCAAACAAAAAATGTTTTTTGGTCATTTATTGTATGTTCCTAATTTGGAATTTTTTGAAATTTTGATATTGTTTTGCATTTCGAAAGCCGAACAATCAAAAATCGCCTTTTTTCCTCCAAAAATGTTTTTTGTTTATTTATGTTTACCAAATTGGAATTTTTTAACTGTTGATATATCCGACATTTCAACACTAGAGTACTTCTATAGCCAAATAATCGAGAAAGTATGTCTCACACTTGCCGTAAACCACAATCAAAAATCGCATATTTCTCATAAAAATTGATTTTTAATATTTATTATACGTTGCCCAAATTGGAATTTTTTCAAATGTTGATATGTCTTACCGTGCAACACTAGAGTCCTGCTCTAGAAATATAATTGAGGAAGCATGTTTTGAACTTGCAATAATCACTGACAAAAGTCGAATATATTATCCAAAAATTGGTTTTTGTTTATTAATTATTTGTTCTTAGAGTTTATGAGATTTTGATTACTTATCCTGCTTTGCATTTCAACACAAGAGTCTTGAGTATTAGAGTATTTAACGCCATTATTTTCCTAGATCAAGACTGTAGTCGTGAAATTCAAAAAAATATCGAAAATTCCAGTGAAACTGCGATTTTCTGTTGCTGTTCACGGCAAGACTTTCTCGTTTATTTTTGTACATCAGTACTGTAGTGTTGGAATGCAAAAAAAAATATCCATTTTGGGGAACACATATTAAACAAACCAAAACCATTTTTGGGGCGAAATATGCAATTTTGAAATATTTTCTCGATTTCTCAATTACTTTTCTAGAGAAGGACTCTAATATTAAAATGCAAGAAATATCAAAATTTATATGAATCCTTGAATTGGAACATGTAATAAATTAACAAAACTATTTTTGTGGTGAAATAGGCGATTTTCGATCGTTGTTTACGGCGAGTTTGAAACATACTTTCTCGATTATATTCCAATAGCAGGACTCTAGCTTTAACTCTTTGAACTCTGACGTCTCTGAGCGAAGTTACTCGCTCACCCTGAAGGTTCGCGGCGCTGTATTGGTAGAACAATAAAATAATTCTAAATATTGGCTATTTTGCACGCTCATAACTTTTCATCAAATTTAGGTAGCACGTTGTGTGACATTTCAATCGAAAGAAAATTTTATTGTGCATTCAAAATGTATTTTGCCTTTTGAAATACATTTTGTCAAAAACAATAAAATTGACTCTAATCTAACAGTGATTTTTATGCATGTACGTGAGTTATGGCTCCAAATTTTGTTATTTTGGTACAAAATATACTGCCAATAATTGATGTTCATAAAGAGTTCTTCATAAGCTTTTTGTTGATATTCGAATTATTATCGTGGCTGCCTTATAACCAATTTTATATTTAAATATTCGATTGTGTATCATTGTGTCGGGTGAACAACTTCGATAAGCGGCCATGGCGCACTGATTACGCAGCTACGCAAGAGTCGATCACGTGACTAAGGTCATGAAGATGTTGATACGTACGTTCGAAACGTATTGCGTGGCAAAATGCGCAAGATAACTTTCACGACGACGTTCTCAGCGGGGCATCGGTCGCCGAGTTTCGATATGATATTAACCCGATATGATTGAAGCACCGACGTCGAGTAACGTATGCAATAATGGTGAAGTGAAGGGAAGTTTATATCATCATAAAATTTCCGTGGAAAATGTTTTATTCGTCCATCCGTATTTGTTCAAATATCAACCAAAATAGATACTTGCCTGCTCTTCAGATCAAAATATCAGATTGTACGAATGTTAAGCGAAGCAAGTCAAACTTATGATACAGAACAGATGAAAAGACTTCAAGCAAACGTACGCCACGATGTGTATAAACCGAAAAATGCCAGCACTAATAATAGATGCGTCGTATGCCGCAAAATTTACAAAATTGCAAGAAAGGCCAATCCTGCCGCTAAAGACAAACAGTTGCCCAAACAATGAAAGACGACGTTCAAATGCAGATACTGCGACGAATACTTATGCATAGGGAATGAAACCAAAAATTATTGGTATGATTGGCATAACCAAGTGTAATATTGGGTTTAGAGCGTATAGCAGACTTTTATCCACATAATATTTTCTTACACTTATACATTTTCTTCTTTTGCATGATTCTAATTGTTCCGCATTCTTTTTTTAATAAAATCACAATCTGGTTCATATTTTGTATGTGTTTAAAATGCAAACAAATATCAAAATTGAAAAAAATACTATTCCAGGGAACATATGAAAAATAAACAAAAATTGGGCTGTAATGCGTCAAACAGTTCTGTTAAATGCATGCATGAATCTTCGTTTTTTTTTTTTTTTTGACGCAGGAAAATTGATTGGAAACATTGTTTGTATACCGAATAAACCAAAGTCTCATCTCGGCGACCTTAAGAAATTCGGGTTTTAGATGACATTCAGTCACATAATTTAATGAATTTATGTTTTTTAAATACATTCTTATTCGAGCATATTTGCGCCATCGGCCTCATACGGATACGAAATAGGGATTTATAGTTAAATACACGATATTCTGGTATCCACTGTGTTATCCACAAATTAGAGTTAATTATTGGCACAGGAAGTCAATACAAAAGAGGAACTATTTTGTCTCAACGATACCATAACCACAATATTAATTTTATGAGACAATATATATTTTTAATTCGTATCCAAAATTACATACCAGTGAGATAATCTTTTATGGTTTCATTTATAATATGGTATTCCACCTCTCCTGGTGGTCCCCGTGGCCCAGCTTTTCCACGAAAAACTGTTTGATCGGTAAGGACAGAATGCTGGTCGCTGTTGGTACAATACAGATGCATTTGCTGACCCCAAAATCATGAATATCAATAAAATATAAATATTTGAAGTTGAGTCCAACTCTTGTATGAGGAATCCTCTAAAGCAGTGTTTCTCAAACTGTGTGCCGCGGCACACTAGTGTGTCGTGAGAGATTCTCAAATGTGGCGCGCAGCTCTTTGAAATTCTAGAAAATAAGCTGTTTGTATTACACATAGACATACATGCAACTTGTGAGATTTGAATATCCATAATTAATATTTAGACTGATGATATTATTGCATTTGCCTTGTCGCTGTAGTAAGGGGTATTGTTCCAGTATAATTGCATTGTGATGTCATAATGTCTTGTAAAAAAGACCCCACCTTCCACCATGTTTATCTGCGCGTTCAGTTAGGCCAGTGGTCGGCAAAATTTTGTGTACTTGCGGGCCGAATATACACATTTCTTTCGTGTACGAACAATCGCCACATTTAATATATTATCCAACAATATATTGTTTGTATTTTCTTATTCTCAATATGAAAGATGATGTGATTATGGCAACTTGGTTGCCCGCAGTACGTCGTTCAAATGACGATCTGGCAAGCGAGTACGAAGTTTGCCGACCCCTGAGTTGGGCTATGGGAAAGCAAGTTTGGTCGAGTTTTGGCTTTCTGCTTACAAATTCTATTCAATCATCGGTGCAAAAGCCATCAAAATAATCTATATCCATTTGCATCTACATGGCTGTGTTAAGCCATATTTTTTGCTCTGGCTGTAATCAAAAGCAAAAAAGGGAGCGACCGACCCTCGTTTCTCAAAACAGGCACAAACATCGCATTAACATTTTGTAGAATAATTTGCCCAAGTCTAGCTCAAATATCTCACAAGTGTGCCGCGAGATTTTTCCTATTTGCTTAGTGTGCCGCGAGCAAAAAGAGCTTGAGAACCTCTGCTCTAAAGCAAGGGTGTGCAACTTTTAAAACAGGAGGGCCACATTCACATAACTTGGGAGGAACGGCGAATCGCACCTTTATAGTAATTTTATGATAGTTTTCGCTTCGATCAAGCTAGCTGTTAGGGCATTGTAATGTATTGGGATTACTCGCACGTACCAGTTTAATCTAAATTAAACACTCGAACTCGTAATAGGACTGAAATAAGGAAAGTTGGCACAAAATTATGGCCTAATCGTAATGTGTCCGTCATGTTGGTTCACATACTACGGTAGTTCCAAAACTTCTCAACAAATATACAGCGAATACATTTACCTGAGAACTTTCGTCTGGGATTCGCTGTCCCTGTGATATTCCAACGCATAGTATCACGAGTATCCAAGTAAAATACATAATGACAATACGGTATCAATGCTTCGTGAAACGAATTGTTTCTGAATTAGGACTAAATTCTGTAAAACACATTTTATTAAAAAGAACAATTTTTTATCCACAGTTTATTGTTTCAGTTATAAATGCTACAAACGTTGGCCAGCCAAATAGTAGACACTTTAGACCAGTGGTACCCAACCGGGGGCCGTGGCCCACCAAGGAGGCCACAGAGAAGTTAGTGTGTGTGGGGGGCACCATGCCAGGCGCCCTTTTACTTAAAAACTCCCCGTTCTTCCCAGTTTCCTTGCTTGATAAGGTTATTTCACAGAGTTATTGCCTTTGTTGAGCATGAATTGTTTGAATATAATGAAGTTCGGAATATACCAATAAAAAATAACATTGTAAATACTAAAGTAATACAATTAAAGAGCCCATAAGTGCTTGAAGCTTTCGGGAGAGGGCCACGAGCCACAAAAAGTTGGGAACCACTTCTCTAAAATATAATTTTTACCTATCTACTAGTGGGGCTTACACAAAGCCTGGTTTGAAGATAACTTTTAAATTTTGCTTATATTAACGCATTTTCTAAACAGCTAACCATTCTACAACAACCTTCCGAGAACCGAGTACACACAATGGCACAATTTGAGGCTCGCAATATATTGCGAAAGGTTTCTTTCATATTTTTTTGCCCAGACTGTTGCTTATTTTTTCGTATCTCGTATATTGTTTGTCTTTTCATCTCATTTCTCTCAGATTGCCTACTGCACATTCGGGAAAACGCTTGCCGGTAATACAAAATTCGCATGAGAAAACGCTACAAAAATTAAACAGGTCCACAAATTTATATAGTATGTAACAACATATGGTGAAACATCCTTTGCCTGTCATGGACCTGGCAAGGTGCCTGGAATATTCAAGACTTCCGCACAAAGAATAAAGTTCTCAAAAAACATTGTCAGCTTTTATTTAAAATAGCAAGTTTCCTCAACGGCCAGCGGGAAAGCTTGCACGATACAAAAGCAATTCAACTTTTAAATTGCATCGGTATCACAAGGAGTTGTGCGCCACGGAAGTGATTGTCCCAAAATACGTTCAAGTTCAACTTTCTGATTCACACGCGGAAAAACTGCCAGACTGACGTGTTCACAATCTGTAACACCCTATGGAAAGTTACCCCCTGACCTCTCTTGGGCCTTTGAAGAGAACCTTGTAATGGATATATCTTCAGACTGTCAAGTAGGGGTTTAATTGTGATTTATTTTTAACTTTTTATACCTTTTCCCAACTTTTACTCCAAACACGACTCTACATCTGACATGGGCAAACTAAGGCCCGCAGGCCAAATCCGTCCCACTGGGTAAACTAATCTCGCCCACCTGATGCTGCCACAAACAAACTAAAACCAAATTCTGATGTCTTAGTTGAAAAATAGTTCAAGTAATTTGTTGAGATAACGATTAAATTTAGTTTTGCACGAGGCTTGATGTTTTCCACTTTTGCTTATGTAATATACTGTAAATAAAAATTCTGTTCATAATATATAACTTTTAACGTCACACTTACATGACCCGCCACACTAGGTGTGCAAAAATTCTGTTTCGTAAACCTTGCCCAACTCTGCTATAGAGGTATAGACCATCATCCATTGGTCAATGGGCGACTATTTTTGAGCACGCGCAATATTTTCGTTTCCGCATATCTTCCGGTACTCCTGAAGTATGGGTGCCAAGATGGCGGAAACTGGAACGTATCATATGTACGAGGTTAGGGTATAGCCATAATTTTAGGTACAAATACTACGTGAGTCACTTGGCTAGTCCCTAAACTCGCAATAGAACTAAATAAGTAAATTTGGAATAAAATTATGGCCTAGCAATAACTTGGTACAGGTACTACGTTTCGGTGTCCGCCATTTAGACACGCATACTTCAGTAGCACTTAACTTACGCAATTTATTACACTTTGAATAGGTTGATGGTCATGGGATCTGTATCCGGGATTTGTAACCTACAGCCCCAATAAATTGAACCACATATTATATACCAAGGCTCCAATTATATTCAGTTAATATAATATGACAATGATAAAATATGGTCCCCATAAAGTCTCAAAAAAATTTAAAATTGCAAAGGAAATTTATCGATTTACCATACATTGATTTGACCCTCACAAATGTATTAGATGAGTAAAAAAAATACTAAACAATTACCGAATAAAAAACAACAAACCTGGTTAGGATATATTGAGAACTGATTTCATAACAAAATTGAAGTTTATGTTTTAGTATATATATACGAAGGTTCCAATTAAATTCAATCCATATATTGTATCTATAATAATACATCTTAACATGATAAATGTTAAATGTACTTATTGAGATTTCTCATTCCATTACAATTCTTCCCCATGTAACAAATGTTGATGACATCTGGTCAGTAAATGTATATATCTGGGATTTAATCAAGCCTACGCGCAAAAATAAATTCTTGGATCGTATTACATTTATTTTTTACTTTTGTTGGCTCTTGATTTTTGAAGTGGCGCGAAAAAAACAACAAATGGAAACACCTCTGGAGCCCCGAATAATGTATAAGATCGGCGCGTGATGTTCGTAATTTGCCAAGTTCAATATGTCCGGGCAATACACAGTCTCGCGATTTAAAAAAAACTCCCAGCTTTTATTTGAAATGACAAGTTTCATCCTCGGCCAATGACAAAGCTACCGAGGTCGGAAACCAATTGAACGAGCGAATTGTATTGATATCACGCAAACTTATGCGCCACGGAAGTAATTGTACCACAATCCAGCGACCTTTCTTATTAACTAACTTTCAGTTTCAGCAGGACCCCAATTCGAATGCTTTATCCGACCATAATTGAAAACATATATCTTTACTGACCCGAAATATACCATCGAATCCTATTTACTCTCGAATATTTTTCTTTCTTTATTCCGCGTGAAACACCTGCTGGTTTGCTTTTTTCACCTCGGACAAGATCCTGAGCTGCATAACCATTTAAGAATAATTAGCAATACGTAAAAAGCTACTGTTTCGGTAATCCCGAAGTATGTGAACCAAGATGGCGGACAGCAGAACGTAGTATGTGTACCAGGTTAGGGTTAGGCAATAATTTTATTCCAATTTTCATAATTTTAGTTCTACTATTACGAGTTCGGTGATTAGCCAAGTGACTCCAGTAGTATTTGTACCTACTGTACCGGAAATAATGGCATAGCCCTAACCTGGTACACATACTGAGTTCCGGTGTCCGCCATCTTGGTTCATATACTTCAAGGGTACCACTGTTTCTGCAACGCTCGGAGTCTTTACGGTTCGGCATTGCCTACCCAATTTATTACATCTTGGGTGACGTAGAGTCATGGATCCCGACATTGCGTAATTTAATTTTTAATCTAGTACATGCGAGTAATATAATCGTTACAAACCCTATACCTAAGTACAATTCATCATCTATGCCTATGAAGTTACAATGCTTTTTTGTGCCTTTAATTACTAGAAAGCCTATGTTCATTAAAGTTGTGGTCCGCGGTTTCTTTCAGTTGTTTGTATCTGGCCTTCATGTATTAAAGGTTGCACACCATTATTCTACGTCAAACGGAATGTGCGGAAAACAAAATGAAACAGAATGTGTGCGTGCGTGCCTAATTACTTTTAATACTTTTGGATGAGCAAACACTTCTTTTAACA